CCACTGGTTGTTTAGCAGGCTTCCTGCTTCTGATGTACTAAAAAAAAATTAGCTATTACTTTTTGAGTCTTTGGCTAGCTGTTATTCAAATTCTTTTTTGGCCTTCCTAATTATATTTTTACACTTCATTGCCAGAGTTTATGCTCCTTTCTAGTTTCCTCATTAGGATAACTTCCACTTTTTAAAGGATGCCTTTTTGCCTCACTGCTTCTTTTACTTTGCTTAGCCATGGTGGCTTTTTTGGTTCTCTATATTTTTTAATTTGGGGTATACATTTAAGTTGAGCCTCTCTTATGGTGTCTTTAAAAAGTTTCCATGCAACTGGCAGGGATTTCACTTTTTGTGCTGTACCTTTTAATTTCTGTTTAACTAACCTCATTTTTGTGTAGTTCCCCTTTCTGAAATTAAATGCTAGTGTTGGGCCGCTGTGGTGTTTTCCCCGCCACAGGGATGTTAAATTTAATTATATTATGGTCACTGTTACCAAGCAGTCCAACTATATTCACCTCTTGGACCTGATCCTGTGCTCCACTTAGGACTAGGAATTGCCTCTCCTCTTGTGGGTTCCAGGACTAGCTGCTCCAAGAAGCAGTCATTTAAGGTGTCAAGAAACTTTCTCTCTGCATCCCTTCCTGAGGTGATATGTACCCAGTCAATATGGGGATAGTTGAAATCCCCCATTATTATTAAGTTTTTTTTATTTTAATAGTCTCTCTAATTTCCCTGAGCATTTCACAGTCACTATCACCATCCTGGTCAGGTGGTCTGTAATATATCCCTACTGCTATAAAGATGATGTGCCAGGGATTGAGGGGAGTATGGTATCCAAAATTTATATTCTTGACAATAATTAAAAATAGAATAGGCCCGCTCCTGAAAACGAGTTTGATACCCCCCAGTCTAGCAGGAAAGAGAAAAATTAATATTTATCCAGATTAAACTTTTTTTTACTAGTCCTTACTGGTGAATGTGTCCACAAAAATGTGGGAGTGACCATCCAAAGGAGAACTGGTGATGGTAAACGCTCTAAGTTGCTTAAGGCTTTAATTTTGAAAAGTAAAAGGTGAGAGTTGGCCTTTCCCACTATAAGGATGTATTTTTGAGGTAGCTCAAGATAGGGTACAGCCCTGCTTTCTCGAATGAACTTCAGAAGATAAAGAAATCCTAATATCCATGATTTCAATAACAACAAGGAGTCTGGTGGCACCTTAAAGACTAACAGATTTATTTGGGTATAAGCTTTCGTGGGTAAAACATCCGAAGAAGTGAGGTTTTTACCCACGAAAGCTTATGCCCAAATAAATCTGTTAGTCTTTAAGGTGCCACCAGACTCCTTGTTGTTTTTGTAGATACAGACTAACATGGCTACCTCCTGATACTTGACATGATTTCAATGTCAATCACACACTTGTAGGGCAGCTGCACATTTTAACAATATTTAAGGCCTGTCTTCGCAAGCAGTCTCACAACAAAGGGGGTGCTGGGGGTTGTCGTGTATATATGTTTTTCAAATAAACATACATCATCAGGGCATTCATGAGGACTGACACAAATATCAAGAATGCATTTGAGGGATAGACTAGTGTAAAAGGTCTTTTCCAGTTGTAAGATCCAGTGAAAAGGTGTAGGGGCTTTGACTAGATATGGATGTAGCTGTGCATACCTGTTATACAAATCTGGCATATGTAGAACCTAAAAAACATCCAGAAGGTAAACTCCAGCTGGTTCATAAAATTGCATTATGGCTGCAATACTCCTCCATATCCTCCTGACCATTGGTAAAGCATTCCAGGAGAGAGTGTATTTAGCAATCTGATAGTACCAGTGGCACAGGAAAGGACAGTTTAGCTATGTAACAATAAAGGAATTATTCTCTATCAATGCTATTTAATTCTAGAAAAGTTTAACTACATTTATTTTGTATGTTCTATGATTAACAGAATAAAAAAAAACTGTAATGTTGCGTAAACAAACCTTTGGCAAAACAGACAAGTTATTTGGAGGTATCCTGGGACTGTCCATAAATTAATTTTGGTTGTTAGGACTTCTACTAGTTAAAATATAGTAAAAAGACTGGAGTTAATTATTCATTTCTGGCTCGGTTCAACAAAACACTGATGCATATGTTTAAGTCCCATGGTCTTCAGTGAGAATTAAGCATGTTTCAGTGTTTTGTGGCAAAAGGGAAGTTCTGTACCGAGTTTCATTGGGCATGTGTACTTAGGAGAAGTGATGTACAACATGAGGAGGAGGAACAAGTATTTTCCAACTCAAAGATATTGGTGAGAGTGACCTGGGTGAGAAGGGCATGGTCCAGCAATGCAATCAACCATAACTTCTTCACATATCGTCCCTTACAAAATGTTGCCTTGTTTAAGTAGATATACGGCTTGTCTACACACACAGTTACTCCTGATCAACTCCATGAGTGGACACTCTTAGTCTGGAATAAGTGTCCATATGTGGAGTTAATCAGGAAAAATTAATATGGAACAACTCCATCTGTAAACAAGCCCTTAAGATATCTCTTCAGCAACCAGATTTGCCATCTTTGTTAATGGCTGCAAGGCAACTCCTACCCCTCCCTTTAATACATTCTGCTTTTCCCAGCGATGACCCAGGGGACAGCTGTAGTTGAATCTGCAAATAGACTTGGAAGCATCTACCTCTCTGCACTGCCCAAACCAGTCTTGTGCTTCTAGCCCCAAAGTTGAATGAAGAACCTAAGGCCTCTATCACTATATTGATAGTGACCAGCTCAGAACGTATCATACAGTCAAACCAATTAGCTCACAGGACAGGTTATTAGTAACGTGCATGCTTAAATATTTATCATCATTTAAACTGTGATGCCACCAGAAGTACGTATAGAGTTCCTGAATTAGAATCTCAAAGGACGAAGTAGAGTCAAGGGAACTGGTTCTAATTCCCAGCCTTATGACAAGATCCTCCTTGTTAGAGAGTGAAGACACAGAGAAAATAAAGTGTTTTAATAGAAAACCAAGAAGGTACAATTCAAGCATCAGACACCTGTCTTCAACATCAGTACATTAGAATGTGTTAATAAAAGGGTTTCTCAACCGCACACTTCCAATAAAATTTGCACACTTTACTGCAATCATCACCCATTACCAATATACAGCCTCCTCATGGGTACATTTGAGATGCAGAGTGGGAAAGAGAATGACAACGGCAGTATAATATCTGACCAAACTGCTTATTTTCTTGTCATTCATCAGTTATCTAAAAAATGTAGTTGGAGGATGTCTCACCATAGTAAAAATATAAAAACTTAAACAAGGAAGATTTGCCAATATACAGTTTACCATATGCAAAATAGGGAAAACATCCCAGGCATTAAGGATTTTTATACTGCATTTAAATACACAAAATTGAATGCAATAAATGAAAATTACTGTTCAAAGATTAAATTCCTTGTAACATACTGCAAAAGGATGTTATTTTTAAAATATGAATTCAAGTCTCAAAACATTTAAACTCTACTAAAATTTTATTTCAACAATCACATCAAATGTGAATTATTAATTATTGCTGTAACAGTAGAAGGATTTGTGTCTCTGAGTTAGTGTTTTAAAACATAAGTAATTTAAACTAGAGTTCTCAAGACATGTTCAGGTAGCTGAAATGGCTTGTTCAGAGTCAATCAGGTGTTGGTCTCAGAATGATTCAAAATAATCTGTATTGGCTCTAGGCATTTATTGCCATCTCCACTATATTAGTATTTTGTTGACTCTGAGAACAAATGTATTCATAACTGAACTTTGAAGAATAAACAAATTCTATAAGAAGTGTTCACAATAGAAGAGTTAGCATGTTCTGAACTTTTATTTTTTTTAAAAATGACAAACTTTTTAGCAGTGGAATACCTTGAAATTTAACCCCCCTCCCTCACATTTTAAGATATTGCAAACAGGCTAGAACTTTAGGAGATCTGTGAAATAGCCTATTCCTCTACATTTTTGGCAATTTAAGCCAGCAGGAGAGATAGTATACTATCTGTTTTCACTTTCAAATAGAGAATAAACATTTCAAATAATTAGTATATATCCAGCATTATAGCTCTATATGCTGCCCTCTCTCCCCCTCTCCCTCCATGAATGGACCACAGAATTAGGTTTCAACTTCGAAAATCCTTACACTGTAGGTTCTGTTCTTTACATACATTCCAGTCTGGATAGATCTGGAATATGAAGCACTTAAGGAAAATGCATTGCATTCTCCAGATTACTTTGTTTGGAAATAGCATCACATACCTTTTAGGGGGAGGTTTTCCAAAGGCACAAATGAGTTAGGCACCTGAATGCCATTTGTACTGTTGCTTGTGCTTAGACAATACCATTACTCAGATCACTAACTGCACAGCAAAATTATTGGATATTCTCTTTTTTATGTACACAACACCGATGTACAATAATGACAGTTAGGGATATGGGTTAGGGGAAAAACATTGTGTCCCAATTGACTACAGTATTTGGAAACATCCTATTTCTCCCAGGCTTGGGAATTCTCCATACACCTGATAAAGCCATTTCTTAAGGGACATGCAAGGGAACAAAATAGGGCTTTTTGGTTCTTATTTATAAAGGTCCAAACTTAAAAATAAAAGTTTGTGTTTTTAAAATTGTGGGAATATCAAGTCTTGCCTTCCCTGTTTTTGTTGGAGGTCATCTTGCAGGAAGGGAGAACTAGAATAGGAACTTTTGTAGCCCTTAGTGTAAGGTATGGAGGTAGTGAATCTTCTTAGCAAGATTTTTTTTCCTCTCAACTGCTTATTCAGGTATACAACACATGTTAAAGTTTTAAACAATGACTGACAAAACATGTATCAATGCCTTGATACCAATTATGTCCTAATCCTACCAGTTTTCAAGTTTAATGTCTTCCCTGTTTTTCATGGTAGACACAACCTGGATTTCTAATGTAACTAACAAGAAAAATAATGTATAAAGGCAAAACACTCTGGCCTTTTTATCAAAAAAAACCAAAAAAACACTTTTTTCCTTTGCATGTTATCTTTAAATCATTCACAAGGCACACTGTCAAGTGACACAAAGCACTTCCTCTCCCCACCAGTTTGCAGGGTGTGTGGGAAGAGCTCATAGCCTCTCTGCCCAGGAAGCAAAATGTCCTATTTTAGTGATGCACCAGAGAAATAACAAAATAGAAATAATTTCCCTCAGGCCATGATATAGCATTCCTTCTTAGTGATGTAAGTGAAACCAATCTGCTTTAAAATGCTGCACTATTGAAAACAACTATTTCAACTTTCCAAATTGGCCATTCTCACTTTTATTATTAGAAATCATGGTAGTAAAAATATCACTTCAGCTTGAAACAAAAGTTACACAGAAATATTCTCCCGAGGATATAATTTTGCAAATGAAACCCTGACTATAAAAAGCAAAGTGAAATACAGCATCTTTGCATCTGATTCCCACCCTCCGCCCTGAATTTGGCATTAACAAAAATATAACTGCAAGATCAACAAAACCATGAAAATGTACACAGAAATCAAAAGACAACAGTGAATAGCTCCACCAAGGTCCCTACTTAAAGTAAAAGAACTCTACTCAGTAAAATGACTTAACACCTTTCCAATAGCTGTACGATCAATTAGGTAGAATTAAAAAAATCTAGTAATAAAATTTACTCCATTTTTGTCTAATCAAAAAGCATTTTAAAAACTCTTGTTCTTGGAAAAGTTATTTAACCTAAAAAAACAGATACTGAATTCCCTTTTTATTAATATACATTTCAGATTACTGATTGGATTCATGTAGCTTTTCCCTCAGAGTGCAGTAAGATGCAGAGGACCTACACTTTAAATAGTCACGTGACAAGATTCTTCAACAGCATTTTGGTACTGGGTTTCTTCATCAAGCTGAAGATTCTAAACACAATAAGACATTTGATCAAAAACTGAGAAACGCTGTACACGCTTATCAAACTGTTCAACTCCATCCGGTTCTTTGTATTATTTGTTGCCCACATATGGTATTGTAAATGGCACCTAGATAGAGAATCTCTTGTGTTACAATATATGCATCAAGATCAATGAATTTAAACAAAACAAAAAAAAATCTGTTTTTTTTTATTTAAATTGGATTTTTTTGATAAAATGCTTTTTGAGGAAAAAACCTATGTAAACATAGTTTTAATTAAGATACATTATAGCTCAAAGATATCTCATCATGGAATAGGGATTATAAATTCTAATTCTATAGTATGAGACAGTATATTCATGTAATGTTTAAGAAAAGTTTTGTAAATGAGCTCCAATAGTTCATGGATTAGGGACCCAATCTTATGGGGTTCCAGGGACTTCTGTATAGATTATTTAGGTTAATCTTTCTATCTACCCAATGGGACTCAGTGCTCAGTCTAGAAGCAACCATCAGAGATGCTTACTTTTGCAGTTCTCAAACTGTGGACTGTGTCTCCAGAGATAACATGTTGCTTAACAGCAAAAATGTTTTTAAATAAATAAATAAATAAATAATATATAGAGGTGAGAAATAACAAGACCTCAACCCTATTGTCCCTCTGTAAATTTGTGTACACAGAGTCAGTCCCTTACATCTCTCTAAAAGTGCAAAGTTTCAAAAAGTTCAATGAATAGAAGTTTGTTGGGGGCGGAATAGATCTGGATAAGGAGAAGTCTGGAGACAAATGTGAGAAGGGAGGGACAGACAGTAGAAACAAAAGTGAAACTATTTGAGCAGCGTATTCCAGGAGTCTTGAGGTCTTTCTGAGTGTAGCCTTCATTGATTTGAGATCTACCATACCATTCTCTCGCTAGAAGGGAAAGCCTATAACAGCAGCAGACCGTAAAAGAGACCCAGTTTGGGTCTCATCTATTTCTGAGTTGTGAAGAATATGTATTAAGGTTATAACAACCAACAAGAATGCACTTTTATGTAGAAATCCATGATTAAATTGAGTCTTCCTGACTTCCTGATTTAAATCCATTTGATTTAAATCAAATCCACCCTGATCAAGAAAGTTGGCTAAACACTCAATACTATATCTTACACAGATACCAAAGAGAGATGAAAGCAGAGGAGTAGAACTCTTCAGCCGAATGAACCCAATCAATGTCCTCTCCCTGATTTTATTGTGGGCTAGTCAGCTAGGGAGAGGGATTCTCTACCATATAATTCTTATGAGAGGGTTTTCAGTTAGCCAATATACCTCTAGGACATCAAAGGTTCACCCTAAATCCGTATTTGCAAGGCCTCTGTTCTCTTTTGGTTGGCAAAGCAACAGACACCATAAAGGTGGCAGTCTGGAGTCTGTCACACTTCCCTTGGGAATAGGGGTAGTCTTGGGCAGCTGTGCAAGGCTGAAATTAGCTTTATGGAACAACCTTGTCTACACTAGATGGGTGTTCAGCATGATTTAGCAGCATCTGTTGCCAATACCCACTGTTAATGGCAGTTACTGTTTATAGTGTAGACAACAGTTTAGAAGTGGCAGAACTACCTCTAAGTAGCAGGATCCACAGCAGCTAAACATGGAAAAGTTGCAAATCTTCTGTGGGCTCTGCAGCCACAGAGGCTAATTTAGTATTTTCCTTCAGAGAAAAAAAGGTTTCCCATTTCTTTGAAGAGCAAGAAAAAAAGGAAAAATGCTTACCACAAATTCTCCATAGTCAAACTGGTGTCTTAGATTTAGATGGCTAACAAGATTTCTAGTAACCTGACTGGGATCTGCCCATGGAAGAGACACACAAATTGGACAAATCTAAATTTGAAAAATTATTAAAAAAAAAAAAGTATTAGCCAATAATAAGACATCATTATATTGTGTATTCTATGTAAAATCTTAATCTGATACTTATCCACCTCAAAAGTGAATGTACTAGAGTTTTACATAAACAACATTTTGAATGTTACACAACTTACAATTTTCCAGAATAATATGACTAACATTTGAGACTGTCAACTTGAAGTTTTTTAAAAGAGGTTAAAAGTAATTTGTTACTACATCTGCCTGTAAGTCCTCCTGCCAATTTGCTTTTTAAATAAAAATTTCCTGTATTTTAAAAAAATTATTCTCCCTTCTGCTCCACTGATGTTTGTGTTGGTCTTGCACACAACTAGGGTGCAAGAGGAAACTATACAGAGGAAACAGTGAAACTGACTACACAGAGTAAAATAAAAATATCTTTCCCTCTTTATCTTTTGGTTTTAGAAATGTTAGGTTTCATATGTAATAATAGTAAGTTACAAGACAAATAAGATTTTTAAATTGACAATGTTTCTATAAGTAACAGCAGTTCTAGTTAAGGGACCAGAAAATAAAAGCATCAAGCTCAAAAAACAAAATAGTTTACATTTCAACTCAACACAGCAACTGAAACTAATATGACAAAGAAAAAACAAATGCCTTATGACTGAAGTGAAGTAAGAAAAGTTATAGTTAATAGGGAAATGTTTTTGAATGAAAATCCCTTCTTCAACTTAACTACAGTGTCATCAATGCAATTCTTTTCTTAGAGCATAATGCTTGTTTGGAACTGTAAGAGCCCATAGAAATAAACTATTACTCTAAATAACTAAAATAAGGGGAGTTTAAGATGCTTACATTGAAAATATATATACTTACTACAGGAACTATCTGATAAAGGTGTCTATTGTTACAATGATCCAGTAGGTGTTGCCGGGTAAAGTTGGTTTCCTGACACAGGGGGCATTTGAATGTGGGATGTGCACTGAAAATGGAAGTTATACAGTATTATATGGATCTATTAAAAGAGAATTTAAGAGATATCAGAGGGAGATAACAGAACATCTGCTGACGTTGTCATAGCCTTTTTTGTTAGTAGTCAAAATAAAGAAATTCTGATGCCACTTTGCTAAACTGTAAATTTCAAGCAAAACTGTATATTTGTGTGTCAATATGTATTCTATTACGTTAGGAAGTTTAGACAATTCTTTTGTCTTTTTTATTGAGGCCATACAATGCATCCTGGAGATTCTTCAAGTAAGAAGAAGCAACAAGAACACCAGATTCTAATTGATAAACTTGCATGTACATGAATCCAAGGATTTAAAAAAAAATTTTTTTTTTTTTTTTTTAAAGAAGTTTGTCAGACTCTCGTAAGAAGTTTGAATTGTCTTCTCCCTACTGGAAATATATCTAGATCTAAATATGGACAACTTAATCACTTTTACAATATTGAATTGAAGAAGCCTACCTTGCATCTCCCTGAAGTGTCTGAAGATTAGCCATCTCTCCGTTATCAAATGTAGATGTATCACTCCTATTACTTTATATAAAACGTTAGATAAAGTATACAAGTTTAATTTCTGTTTGAATACCTAGATACCAGAAATATAGTTTTTTTTTCTATTTAAAAAAAAAATCCATTGAGTCCCATTAATTGTAAACTGATTATATAGGTAGAACATATGGTAAGCATATATAACATGACAAATAATTAAATATCACCCCTGCTCAGAACTTTTCTTTTGCATCAAGATGTTATTTTTCACTTGGTTAGCATGATGAACTTTAATAGAATGCAAAGTAATTTAGTATGAAAATAGTGTTTAGTATATACTTATCCATTCAACAGCAAGACTGAATTTTTGGGGCAGGGAGGGGAATGGGAAGAGGACAAATAGCTCCAATGGCAGTATGGACTGTGTAAACAGAAGGCAGGGGCTGTTTTCTAAAAGGAATTAGACAGCTGTTTGCTCAGGATGATACTCTACAACAGTAGTTAAAGGCATTAATCCTCCATAATTTGAAACTAGCACACTAGGTACTTCATACCGTGTGTTATATGCAAGAATGCTACTTTCTTTAAATGCAGGTTTTGACCATGTATCTTTAACTAAGCAAGGCCAAATTGCTCGACTATGTATGTCTTATAGTTTTAGACATGGGAATTCTGAGTGTGTAATTTGGTGTGCAGTAACATGACAACTTCTAGAATATTTTTCCAACTCAACCACTTCAGAGCAGCATGGCGTGATAGTTATGGAAAATGCCCACATTTGAGCCCACTTCCACATATTCCTCGTTCTTTATCACAGATTCATTTGAAACTCAAATGGATTTTTTCCCCCAACTGGTCGAACTACTGAAAATAGATGGTGATAAATGAAGGTACGCAGTATGTGTAAGTATGTATTAAACTAAATGTGAATTCTGAATGCCTGGCTTAGTTTTTACTCCGGTATTGGCAAAACAGGTTCTTTAGCCTTATGGCTTGCAACTGAGAGAGGGTAAATGGCATCTGGTTATATAATTTATAAACCAACATGTAAAGATGCCAAAGGGCTATTATTCACTTTCAAGAAGATTAACTCAAGATGAGTCAAATCTGAAGACAAAATCCTAAACAAAAGACAGCAACATTTTGAAACAAGAGGAGGCTAAGCAACCATCTATCCATTTAAATAGTAATAAGAATAAGGGAAAAATAAAACTTCTCTAAACCTAAGAGCAATCAGACCTCCTATAAAGCAACTTACTCAATTGCTGTTAAGGCAAAAAAAAAAAAAAAAAAAGTCGGAGGTACTCTCACACTATACAACCTTTAGGGAAGGCTTCTGGAAGTCATTCCAAAACATGCTGTAGAGCACTTTTCTAAATGCCACAGATTGAAGAATAAAGAACAGGATCTAAAGGGTGTTTCTAGAGAAATATTCATTTTTGAAGCACAAGAACTTAGACAACACTGTTTACAAAAAGAAAATGTGCCCTAGAAAAACTATCTGAGTCATACATGAAATACATTAATTACCTGTTCCCTGTTGAATCTTGGGAAATCTGAAAGTTTGGAACAATAGAAGGAACACCATATTCATCCTGATACTTCTTACATGTTTTATAATGGTGTCTCATGCGAGAAAACCTAACCTGTAAATGAAATTTCAAACCATTTAGATTTTACAGTGTAACTAGAACATCTGGGAAAAGAATGACGGTACTTCTGATAAAACAATGCATGTAAGAAAGGAAAACAGAACACCCCTGTATAACAATATATTAAATTCTAATTCCTCTTCTAATGCAACTTTAACAACTACATTCTGTATCCACTCCATCTATGCATTGAACACTTAATAGTGTATTAGGCATTATATTCAACTCTTGATACAAAAGGAAAAGGCACTATGGGGTATTCATTTGTTTTAAATACACCCTTCCCCTTCAGCAATAATGTATTACTTTGTGATCCTAGCCCTCTTGCCATTTATGCAGTCAGTTACACCTCAAACTAACATTTTCAGGGATTCCTATTGTCAAGCAGGAGTACTGGCTCCCTTGAGCACAATGAAGAGCTTCACAGAGGGAAGTGAGAGCGGGACAGCTACAGATAGAAACATGTCCAAAGGTTCTAAGAACACATTATCTTTCACAGCTAGTATGCTCAATGACACATGTAAGCCACTTTGTTCTTTCCAGTCTACCAGTTTGCAACTGAGTGTAAATGGCATTTGGTTTTATAGTTTATAAACCTGAATGTTTAAATGATTCCCTCACCTTATTTCATTTTAAACAGAGATCATGAGTAACAAAGAACCAAACTCAGTACTAATGGAGGATCTCACACAATCCTCTGAGACCCAAGAGTGAGGAAGGGTAGTATTAAGACTTTTTGGATTCAAATGCTTCATAAACAAAATCTATTGGGTGAAATCCTGCCTCCATTTAAGCAAGACTCCTATTGACCTCAATGGGGCCAGGATTCCACCCATAGTGTTCTGAACATTAGTGATCTCTTTACCAAAGGGAAAGCAGAGAGATTAAATAATATGGTAGTGTTTACTGGCATTTGTATTGCTGTTTGCATTTTTTAATTTTGTGCTCTTCTGCTGCAAATTTGAGCACTTTAAAAAAATACAGCACATTATGAGCTCTTTAGTTTATTTTCTAGTTGTTCTCCATTTCTCATTGTCATAGTTATTCGTGTTCTCTTGGCCTGTTTTAGAGTTTTCATTCATTCCTCTCAGTTATTCTAACTTATGGAGCACTATCAGTTTGGCACTTTACAAAAAAAAAAAAAAATTAAATCTTTCTTGAAAAGCAACTTTATTTCAGCAGCCACTTTGCTCTGATTTCAAACTTTGTTTCATAGCTAAGGACCAGCTTCTACTTCAGATGCATGTCTATGCACTCCTGCCTCACTTGGTGCTCAATGCTGCAAGTCTTTAACTACTGGGCATTAATGACACATAGCAGCATGAAGGATCAGGTCCCCAGGAAGGAAAGTTTATTCACTTGTAATAAGTAACTTTTATGTTTACTCAACCTGTTTTTCACAGCATCTACAACACCCAGAAAGCTTCTTCATGTTGTTTTCAACATCTAGAGCCCTTTTGGGACATGATCTTTCTTTTTTAGTCACAGTTCCACGGCATAGAGGACAATGCGTTCCACTTTCTCGGATTGCTGTCAGGAAACATTTCCTGCAGAAGCTAATTCAAAGTTAACACAAACACAAATTAGTAAAAAAAAAAAAAAAAAAAAGTTGGGTAGGTCAATATTTTCTGCTTTAGCACCAAGGATAGTTGAGTAGCTATATTATTATTTATTATAAAAATAGTAGAGTCAGGCCTTGAACCAGCAATAAGTTCTGCAGGATAAGGATCACTGGCTGAAGTCTGTATCTATAAGTCTTCATAAAAACAATACAGATCAAAAGAGGTAAAGTTATTATAGAAACATACTACTGATCTCAAGTTATGGGATGTTTGGCAATTCATTTTATACAGAGATTGTACTTTCTAATTCCAGTACACTTGAGTTGTGTAACTTGAATGATCATTAATGAGATATTGAACATGTGACATTGAGGAAATTATCAGATGTTCATGTTTATTTCTAGACCAATTGTAATATAGCCCAATACTGCAGCCCTTCACTCACGCAACTGCCCCCATAAATTCCAATTTGTTGGTTTGTGCAGTTACCCTTACCTTCCATATATAAACAGCATTCTTTTAAGTGTCTGTGTTGATTTTAAAAGCAATGCTTTTGGCAAATTTCTAGTTTGTAATTAAACATTTCTCAGAAGTAACATACACTTTTTGCAGCATTGTGAATGACAGCTAGAAAATGAAAGTGATTACACTCTTTCCATTTTCCAATCTGAGAGAATAGCCAATGGATAAGAAATTAAAGGTACACATTTAATAAGATTTGTAAAATTATTTCACTTCTAAATATGTAACATAACATTAGTAATACAGGCAAGGGATTTTAAAAAAATATTTTTCACCTGATTGTTCTTTCATTACAAATGAAATAAGGATGATAAAAGCTCTGAAACACCTCATACACAATCTAAATTCAGCATTGGATAGAGGTTTATTATCAGCACAGTGGACTGGAGAAGCTTTAAAAAGGTCTGTAAAGTTTTACTGTATGTATCATACTGCACTAGACGCTGTTCCCAGGCCAAGTGTTGGAAAGCTGGGGGGGAGGGGGAAACAAAAGGAATAACAGCTTCTCAGGAGGCTAGAGGACAAGCACTCATAGAGGGGAAGGTCAGGGGCAACATATACCTACATGTGTTGGCAGGTTACTGTCCTCACAGGCGTTTTGAACACCTCCTGGCACACGGGACAGTAAAAATCCTCTTCATTGAAACAAATAGTGGCAGGTTCCTCGGCCATGGCAGTGAGTCTTGACCGCTCTGTGGGAGTAAGGGGGGAAATCAGTCACTTAAGGAGACTTAGGTCTTAGCCGATTTCCCCCTTGTGGGGATGAAGGGCTGGTGGAGGATCAGGCCCGTGCCCTCTGGTTGGCAGCGTCCCTCGCCAGCTTACTTCGAGGGGGCGCTGATGCAGGCAGCTGGGGCGGCAGAGGGTGCTCCTACTAACCAAGGCCGGAGCTGCAGGAAGGCGGTGGTGGCCAATGGGGAAAGGGAGCTGCGGGAAGGGGGCTGGCAGGCCGGTCCCTGTCGCAGCGAGGGCCCTGGCACCGGGAGGGGATCGGTCTCCACCCCCCGTCTGTTTCCGTCTCTCTATCGGGCCCGAATGGCAGCGGGAAGCGCCCTCCCCCCTCTGGGGCCGAGAGCGCGGCCCGCGGTACCTGGCGGGGGCCCCCTGGGCGGGGCCGCCGCTCCAGTGGCTCAGGGTCTCTCAGCCGCAGCAGCTGTCCCGGGGCGAGGTGGGCCGGGTTTCCATGGCGATTACCTGCGGCTAGGCCCGGCGGGATTGTTATGAAACAAGCGCCCCCCCGCCCCGCTGTGGCCTGCTGGATGGCCCTAGCGGGACAGCCCCCTCCCCGCCACCACCCCGCTATCCAGAGCCCCCGGGAGCCCGCCACGGGCCCTGCCGCGCCCGCGTTCCCACCCCTTTGCTCGAGCCCCTCCGCCGCTGTCAGGCCCTGAGCTTCCCCTTTGCGTCGGCCAAGGAGGGGCCCAGCCTGTGACAGCAGTTCCGGGGCCCTGGGCGCCCGGCCGGTTCAGCCCCCAGGCAGCCCCGCCGCTTGCACCGAACGCCTCTCACGCCCGGGGCGAGCAGCCCCGCGTCCCGTGGGAGTGACTTGCGTGGCGTTCGCACGGGGGGCAGCCCAGCCTGGCAGCAGAGGTGCCCGCAGCTCCCTCCCTCTTTTGTTTTCTGCTGTGTGGCTTTTCCTAGACCATTGTCCTTCCCGATGGATTTGTCCATTGCCCCGGGTCAAGCAAAGTGGGCGGAGTGGGCAGCAATTGTACTTCTTCAATGGGGAATTAGCTCTGATTTCAGCCTCTATTGTAGCTGCATTGGTGCAAACCCCTAGGGGTATGGCGGTGCTCAGGTGTTGGGTGAGTAACTGACTTGAGCCCTTTTGTAAAGGTTAATCGGGGCACTCTCCAAATATTTGCCCCAGCAAGCAGATATTTGTCCTAAGTTAACTCAAAGAAAAAACTAGCAGAGACAACCCCCAGAATTGGTACCTTCTGCGCACTAGGGGTTGGCACTGGGGCATCTACACTGTGGTGGCTGAAATTGAAGCTAATTCCTAGCATAGACTGGACATTGATGCTGAGATCTCAGAATTCTCAACTCTGATGAGAGGGAACAGGCGATGTCCACTATACAGCAATAATATGCAAGATAATGTGGCAATTGTAGGAGTACCTAATAGGGGAATTACAGCTGCTGGCCTATGCTGAGCAGATTGCTTAACTGGAAACTAACTGGCTGTGTCTGCAGGAGGAAAATGATGGGATTGTTGGCCAGCATGGTTTGGGACATAAGAACATAAGAATGGCCCTACTCGGTCAGACCAAAGGTCCATCTAGGCCAGTATCCCGTCTTCCGACAGTGGCCAGTGCCAGGTGCCCCAGAGGGAATGAACAGAACAGGCAATCATCAAGTGATTCATCCCCTGTTGCTCATTCCCAGCTTCTGGCAAACAGAGGCGAGACACACCTTTTCTGCCCATCCTGCCTAATAGCCATTGATGGACCTATCCTTCATGAATTTATCTAGTTCTTTTTTTGAACCTACTTATGGTCTTGGCCTTCACAACATCCTCTGGCAAGGAGTTCCACAGATTGACTGTGCGTTGTGTGAAGAAATACTTAAAGAATGTCCATACTGGGTCAGACAAATGGTCCGTCTAGCCCAGTATCCAGCCAATGCTAGGTGTTTCAGAGGGAATGAACAGAACAGGCAATCACCAAGTGATCCATCCCCTGTCCTCCACTTGCAGCTTCTGGCAGAAGTGTCCACAGAGCTGCCTTCTTCAAAGTGTCCAACCATCATTCCCAATTGCTGTGCTTTCCAGTTACATTTGCAGCAGTGTGTTCTGGGGAAATCTGGCTAGTTATCTTAGAGTGTGACAGTGTCTGTTGCCAGACAGAGGGACTGTGTATTCACTTGATGAGTACACTGTGCAGGCAGCGACATCAGGGAATAACATTATTGCCAATGGCCATGATTATATTGTGACTAGCAATTGTGGGGTGTGGTTTTACCTGTCTCATGATGAAAGGTGCCAACACACAATTTTTCCCTTATTCAAAATGGCCACCATCTCCTTTTACAGTCAATGGGGATGAAGCCAGGATGATGGCTGTCATTTCCTTACATGCTATCTGCATGTGGAAGTGAGGGTGCCCTTAATAAAGGTGGCTGCCACTTCCCACTCTTCTCAAAGAGATTTAAACCAGGCAAAAGGGCGGTTAGTCTGTGGTTCAGGGGGCTAGATGGACACAGGGACTGGGAGGAGCAGCAGTGGCACTGTGAAAGGTAGATGAGAAGAGTAAGGAGCTGCAGAGGATACAGATGGGGTGCGAGATGCATCGGTTGATGGCAGCTGCCTCAGTATAGAGATAGTGGTGAGTAAGGGGAGTCCCCTCCAAACAGCCAGGGGAAGGCAGGGTTGTAGTATTGCCAATTCTCACAAACTAATTGTGTGAGACAGGGGATGTTGGTGCCTGCAGGAGGAGTTGTCACAATGACATCAGAAGCTCCTGTGGACCCATAATTTTCAGGGCTGGGCTCATGGGCAGAGCTCTGTGCAAGAGCTTTGGTTCTAAGGACACAGACCTGACCTGCCTTCAGGTAAGGGCCTAGATCAGAGAGAGAAGGCCTGGAGTAGCAGCAGGGAGGAGTTGGGATGGAGAGTGGTTCTGCTGGGACCCTGATGGAGAAACTCCCGGGCGGAGGGAAGAAGTCAGCGAACAGCTGCCACTGGGTCACAGACAGAGAAGTCCGGAGGCAGAGAAGCATTGCTGTTAGGTCAAGCAAGTAATAGAAAATAGATGGCGATTCCCCTGTATTAGAGGTGAGAAGAAGAAGGTAAGTGGAATCTCCATAAGAGGAGGTAGAGGTAGGTGTGTATTTTTGTATGCATTAGGGATTTGATTTTTCAACCTGAAATTATCCCACACACATTGGCAGAAGAGTTAAAGTCAAAAGACAGACTAAAAAACACAATTTGAATTACCCCCAACCCACACACACACAAACAGGATTTTCAGCTAATCTCATGATTTGGAAGGGGAAACACTGACTCATGAGTTTTGATCTCTACAGGTTGATAATACTCAAATAATAGTATTCACAGTATGCGTTTACTGATATAACTATAGTGGTATAATTATGCTGGTAAATTTCCCTGTGTAGGCAAGCCCTCAGACACATTAAGCAGATTCTGTAGTGACCTACCTGAATTTGGGTCTTGGTGGTTAACAAAAAACAAACAAACAAACCCTTAGTTTCCCTTTTAAAGATAAACAGGTCTCATTTGTAGGGATTAGATGACTTTAAAATAAAGCACAGTCCCCTTATTTGAGGCCCTTGTTGGAAAAAAAGGAGGGTGGAAGGAAATGTTGCCCTTGACTTCTACTCTGCCACCACTTTGAAGCTGACAGCTGGCTACTCTCCACAGTGAATGTATAGAAGGGGTTGCCAGGCAGGGGAACCCCCACCCCTCTTTCTAAGTCCATGGGTCTTCAGGTGGGAAGAATGCAACCTGAAACCCTAAACCCCTGGGCCTACGTGGCCTTTTAGCACCATTTAGGATCCTAGCAAACAACCATAGCTCTATACTGCATCAGCCAGTGGTGGTTGCAACAGGTAGCCTTATGCTACTTTCTGGTGCAGTGAGGACTACCCAAATACACAGAATAATACCCTGAAGATTGGTGGCCCTGCCTGTCTGATCTTGAATGTCTGGAGGGTAAGAGCCTTGGCTCAAGATCGAAGCCTGTAGCCCAGTGATTCTCAAACTTTTGTACTGGTGACCCCTTTCACATAGCAAGCCACTGAGTGCGACCCCCCTTATAAATTAAAAACACTTTTTTATATATTTAACACTATTATAAATGTTGGAGGCAAAGCGGGATTTGGGATGGAGGCTGACAGCTCGCGAACCCCCATGTAATAACCTTGTGACCCCCAGTTTGAGAACCCCTGCTATAGCCCCTTATTCAAAGGGGGCCTGTAGTTTTTGGGGTGGGTGGAGGTAAATCTATTGGAGGAAACTGAGCTGGAGCTGAGGTCCATCCTTCAGGATCAGATCAGGGGATGTTGGGTATGGAGTCCTGATTCAGGTCTAACTCCAGTTATTAATATTGTTATGCAGAAAGCCAAAGGTGCTAATAATACACTTGATGGCAATCTTTGATCCAGAGACTATCAAAGACCTGGTTAAAGCTGATGGGTGTGCTAAGCACCATTCTTTCAGGCTTAGTGGGAGGAGCAGTAAAATACCTTTTATGTTACTTAAGAGCTGGAACAATGGTTACTGCCAGGGCCGGCGCAACCCATTAGGCGACCTAGGCGGTCGCCTAGGGCACTACAATTTGGGGGGCAGTGACCGCGGTGGTATTTCGGGGCGGGACCTTCTGCCGCCTAGGGCGGCAGAAAAGCTGGCGGCGCTCCTGGTTACTGCCCAAAGTGATGGGCCACATGGTGAGGCCTTGTCAGAGTTTGCTGATTGAAAATGCAGGCAGGGGCTAAGGGTTTTAGTTTGTGTCTATGTTTTGTAGGAGAGACAAGGTGGGTGAGATATTCTCTTTTACTAAACCAACTTCTGTTGGTGAGAGGGACAAGCTTTGGAGCCACACACAGCTCCAAAGCTTCTGGAATGGTTTGTTTAGCATAAGTAGTTAGCATATATTCTAATCTAAGGAGCCATTCAAAATAGAGTGGCCTGTTAACACCTTTGTAGTCATAGGACAAAAGAGGGGGTTAGTGGGTTACAGATTGTTGAAATAAGCCATAAATCCAGTGTCTCTATTCAGTCCATGATTTTTTAGAATCTAGCGAAGTAATGAATTTAAGATCCCAGGCTCATCTTTTAAAGTGTCGTGCAGGTTTCCTTTGAGGATGAGAACTGATAGGTCAGACACAGAGTGATCACTTTGTGAAAAGTGTCACCCACAGGTGATAGGGTGTTTTTGTCTTTTATCATTTTCCTGTGTGAGTTCATTCGAGAGCGTAGTGATTGTCTGGTTTCACCCACATAGTTGTTATTGGGGCATTTAGTGCACTGGATGAGGTATAACATGTTGTGATAGGCATGTGTAGGACCCCTGGATCATGAAAGGTGTGTTGTAAGGGAAATTGATCATTGTAGCAGTGGAGATATGTCTGCAGGTTTTGCATCTGTTGTTCTGGCAGGGTTGGTGCTGCTTTGAGTTGGTGTGTCCTACTCTGTGGGGATCTTGCTTCTGATTATGAGTTTGGAGAGGTTGGGGAGTTATTTGAAGGCCAGAAGTGGAGATTCAGGAAAGATTTCTTTCAGGATAGGGTCCCCATTGAGTATGGGTTGCAACTGTTTAATGATCTTCCGTGTGAAGGAGAAAGCCGAAGAAGCAGTTGTGAGCCTAACCTTGGGAAGAAGCCAAGAGTCGGATCTTCTACTAGGGTTGCCATTGCCAACTTTCTAATCACACAAAACCGAACACCCCTGCCCCTGTTTTTGCACCCTTGGTTTCATGATTTCTGTGGGAGCTATTGAAACCATGAACTCTAAAGCTGCCCCTTTGGGCAGCAGAATAGGGGGTGACTATGAGAGGGGTCAGAATGAAAGGGAGAGGCTGCTTTTCAGAGAGAGACCCAGAGAGAAACAAAACAAAAATGAAGAAAGAGGGGGAGAGAAAATGGTGAAGAGATGGAGAGAATGATTCAGAGATGGAAGAAAGAGAAATT